ATTTTACAGTTCCTGTACTTCCTGTCTATCCTGCCAAGTATTTAAATATCAGTCATTTCTGAAAATGACTATTTACAGGTTGCATTTTTTAAAAAAGAAACCTTTTTGTAGACATTTTAAAAGCAATCACTTTCATTGATATCTACAGAGAATTTAACTAAATTATCGTTATTTGTAATATATACCCATGACCTTCCTGGTGAATGACTAATAGTCTTCCAGTGAGACTGATAAGGCAAACACTCAGATTATTTTCTTTTAGTGTGAATGTAAAATAACCTAAAAATGGACAAGAATGTGCATATAATAGTGTTGGTAAAGCAGCCCATCAAATATTAATTTTCTCAAAAATCATTTTCTTGTTGCTGACATCAAATGCATATTTTATATGAAAGATCATTGTCTTTGTGCAAAGATCAGAGGCATTGTGGTCTTAGGCACATCACTCAGCTTGCTTCCCAGGTCTGGCTCTCCGTATAAATCCCTGGAAAAATCAATGGGCTGGAGTTAGGAGATCTAAAATTTTTTTTCTTAGACAAATCACTTGAAACTTCAATGTCTTGATTTTGATTCTCTGTAACATAAGAGAGATGGACTTAATGATATTTAAGATTCCTTCAAAAATATTAATATTTCTAATTGCAAATGAATGGATTTCTGAACTTTTAGTGTACTGTATAAATCCTACAGTCTCCCAAATTAAAAGAAAATATATTATTTTTGATTCTCATTTAAAAACCATTCTATATAGGTTGCAAGAAGGATGTGAATTAAAATGCTTTAGAGTTTTTTTCATCTACTTCATTAAGAACCATTTTATTGAACTTGCACAGAGGTTATGCATTTAAGAATGTGTTTTTAATTGTGGTTGAGGTGGTGACCACAGGGCAATTACCAGTTTATTAACTGAGGAATGTACTCATCATGGACTTTGCTATTTTAGTCAATTCCTTAAACTTGCATATAATATTTTACTTTCATAATATCAATTTAAGTCAGTGAAATATCATGTTTTATGGTGAGATCTAGTTTTATAGTTAGAATAATGGTTTGATGATTGTTATTGTTAAATAGTGATTATGTAGTTATATGCTGATATATTTACTTAAAGAATTAAAAAACAAATCTCTAAGATAATAATATCCTTCTTGAGTCAGTGCAAAATAAAATGATAGACTGTATATTACATAAAAAAATTAAAAGAGAAAAGCATTGTAAATTTTATAGCACTATTCCCATAGTGTTATTTTTAGTTTTTTAATATCCATTTGACTATTCAGCAAGCTGAATACCAGGGACTTTATTTCTTTAGCATAAAGTGGTTTGGTAACAATATTTAAAGCTGTATTTTTAATTTAACATTACCTTTATAAAACTACCAAAAGACAGACCATTTTTGAACTAATTGGTCATTAGCTCCCTCAATCTCTGTCATCTTTTTATCTCTAAATAAAATTATTTTATTTACCAGGTTTCACTGTCTAGGGAGCAGGCATCTTAGTCAAGAAAGTTATTATTCTAAAGGTCCCCAAATGGTAACAATAGTCCTGGAAGTAGACAAAACCTGTGGTTCAACCATTAGCTGCAGCTGATGTATTTGTTAGGCGTAAGTCAAACACAAACCTACCAAATGCCCTTGTAACTGCAGCAGTGAAACCACAAATGTTCCTTAAGGGCCAAATATCTATGCCCAATAGTCAACATGTGATAGGCATGCATAAAATATGAGAGTGCCTTATCTTAACAGGGTAATGTTTCTTTCATCTTTGAAGAGCATTTTTCACAAACTTTCAGAGTTGATACCTTAAAGTTGTCCCCAACTTAAGTTATAAAAGCTGTTGGCAATATGTGTTTTCTTTTTATTTAAAATATAGCAACTTCATGAAGAAAACTTCTGAGTTTGAAATGTGATTTTTTTTTTGCAAAATGAACATTCAAATGATATTATTTTACTTCTGGTCTAAACCAATGTAAAGATCAATGTAGGCCAGGCGCGGTGACTCACGCCTGTAATCCTAGCACTCTGGGAGGCCGAGGTGGGCGGATTGTTTGAGCTCAGGAGTTCAAGATGAGCCTGAGCAAGAGCGAGACCCTGTCTCTACTAAAAATAGAAAGAAATTAATTGGACAAGTAAAAATATATAGAAAAAATGAGCCGGGCATGGTGGCGCATGCCTGTAGTCCCAGCTACTCGGGAGGCTGAGGCAGAAGGATCGCTTGAGCCCAGGAGTTTGAGGTTGCTGTGAGCTAGGCTGACACCATGGCACTCTAGCATGGGCAAAAGAGTGAGACTCTGTCTCAAAAAAAAAAAAAAGAGATAAATGTAAAACACCAAATGGGCCATGCTAGCACTAAAAGCTTAGCTATGCAGTAGTGTTTGGTTTGTCTTTTAAAAGAATAGAATGTATTTTGCAACATATACATTTTTTAGTTTTAGAATAATGTTGTAGATTATTTTAAGATCTCAGAATTTTAAAGTAAACTGCTAATAGCCATTGTCTGTATTCTTTAAAATGACCCTATTTGTATAGAAAGAAAGGGTTCTATAATACATTATAATGTCTTAATTATTGTTTCCAGATATCTTCTCTAAACTTTTAATATTTGATTCCTGTTTTGTATGATAACATTTTAAAACAAATCATACCAAATCTCAGTCCAAAGAGAGCATAGTAATGGTTGGTATCAGATCCAAGAGAGTGAGCCAAGGACATGTTAGGATCTGGAATCATCAGGAAAAATGGTAACAGCCAACAGCAAGAGGTAAAGCAGCTCAAAAAATTATACATGGTGTGAGGGACAAGCTTCTTGGAATAAAGATGTCAACAATATATTTTCCCAGGGATAAATGTAAATGCTCCTATTTAAAAATATTTTATTAACATATTTCACCTATTTTCTGCAATGGATGCTGACCTGTCTTATTTTCTTTCATATTTTAGTGACTAACACATAACCTGTTATGTGATAGATTCTAAAATATTGAATAAATGTTAGACTGAGTGATCACAGCATAGGCACATGGGTCCACAATCTTGCAATTCTTTGTAGATAGAAAGATCTACATTAGGGATTAGGATAAGTGAAGGGATTGCAGGACAACATTTTCCTATGCTGAGATCAGATTCCAGAATCACTTATTCTTAAATCATCAATTTTTAACCTTTTCAGTCTTTGGAAATATATATATATATAAGCTCTTCCTACACAAACACTTAGTACACATTCAATATGTGCCAGAGATGAACAACAGATTATATTGATTGAATCTGGTTGTGGGACTAGAATTCTTATTGATTGAATACTTTTTCTCATAGCCTCTCTCTGGCTCTAAAGAACCTCCTGGGTCTGCCAGGACAGCTTAAAATCCAAGATCTTGACACCTCTCTGTGCCAGGAACTGCACAAAGCACTTTCTTAACCTATATCATCAAAGTTGAGTCTTCATAAAATGCTCTAAGACACATATTATTATCCTGATTTTAAGATGAAGGACTGAGGCTAAGAAAAATTAAGTGCCCAAGTTCATCCAGCTAATAAGTGGCAGATTGGAATTTGAACTCTGATGTCTCTAATTCTAAAACCCATGAAAGTTGGAAATGATTCTAATAGAATGCAGTTGTGGCTATTGTGGGTCTTTTCTTAAAGGAAGTGGTGTAGATAATGATTGTTGCTAGCTTAAATCAGAAGTAGCAGATTTCCAACTTCTGAGATTCCCTGTCTTAACCATTCCCCGGAGTCATTTGAAGCATTTACTCTATAATCGTAACTCTCCTGCTAAAAGTTGGAACTAGAGGTGTAACAATTATTTAGTACTTAATTTTGTGTATTATTTTCTGGGGTTTTCTCTTTTTATCAATTTCTAATTCATTTGTTTGTCTAGCTCTCCTACATTTCCCACTCATTCAAGTATTCAAATGTATTCTTTGACTCATGTCAAAGAATAATGACAATTCCACATATTACCTCTCCCTCTCCCCTCAACTTCTTATCCCTACCCCCCCGAAAGGAGAAAAACTGAAACTCTTTTGCTCTCCAACTCTCCTCATATCCACCCTCATCACTCTTGGATCTGATGGAGTTTTTGCAGCATAATTCTAAAAGATGACATTCTATCTGATGAGAAAAAAATGCCCTGGTTATATTCTAGCTAAATGGATGGGTGGGTTTTTCTCCATGACTTAATTTTGTGATCCGTCTGGGGAAGCTTTCAGTTTTACTGGCAGCTGTCTTCTTTTTTCTAATCAGAACATCAGCTTTTAGCACCTCGCTCAAAAGACAAAATGCGGGGTTTGAAGTTATTATTTAGACTTCACAAATCCTTTAAACAATTTTTCATAGGTAGGGAAACAAACAAGAACCCTGGCTAGGATCTTTCAAACAAAACTGTTAATATCTGCAACCTATATAACATGACAACTGTGATCATTTGGTTTCAATCACAAATAAAAAGTGCTAATAGGAGTGGAAATAAAAAGAGAAGATGTGTGTGTTTTTCTTCCCTGAAAGGTTGAGGATTGACTTTACAGGGAGAAATTCTGAGTGTTTCTTAAAACAACATGATAACTTCTTTATTTCCCCTAGATATTAGTTGCCAATATGTAAACATTTCAGGAAGAAATTTTACACCACTTCATCTACATGTCAGATGGCATTTAATGATTGAATGACAGATGGTTCCAATCCTTGGCAGTTCCTCACTGATGTGCATATCTAGGGATTAAAATGACAAGTGATCAGTGACTTTTCTTGTATAAACTCCATGGCAATTATTTAAAATCAATCACTATCGAAAAGTCAAACAATCTTAGCTTCCACTTTATGTTTTCCCACAAAAATTTCACAACTTTCCCTAGGAGTAGTTTCTGTCGTTTGGATGTTTTATGCAAAGGTTCAGATTCATTTTGGTAGTCTTAGTTGCATGGGTTCTTGGTATGCATTTTAATTGGTATCTTGCAGGCACATGGTGGTATTCATGCATTGTTTGTTTCTCTCTTTGTAGGTAGAAATAACACTTCAGGATATCAATGACAATCCACCTGTATTTCCAACGGACATGCTGGATCTCACTGTAGAGGAGAACATTGGAGATGGCTCTAAGATTATGCAACTGACAGCTATGGATGCTGACGAGGTAGCTCAGAACATGCCTCTGAATTTTTAAAACCAAGTGCTGCAGTGATTTATCAAATGTTTAGATATGTTGACAACTTTAATTACCCAATAATCAAGGTTAAGCATTGTGTGCTCCTTTCCAAAGAATATTGATTCTTGACATGTGATGTAAGAATGTTAAGATAGAGACTATCAATAGGTAATTTTCCTTTTGTTGGGAATCCGCAACTCAGTTAATTGCTGATTGCATTTTAGATTTCTTAGCCAAATTATTTTATTTTCTCAAATAATAAAATATCTAAAGACATACCTCTTTTTATACCTTTATTATCCCAATTTGCTATCTTATAACAGCTAAGGATTGATTTATATTTGTAATTCTAACAAGCAAATAATTTAAAATTACAGAATTTTAAGGTTATCTTACAATTTCTCATTTACTTTGCACACATATACACACATATATCCTTAAAAAACAAAATACATAGTTCAACAATATCCTCACATATTTTTAGGATATTATCTTGTCAAGCTAATGCCTTTTCAATTCCTTTAATAAACAGAAATTTCATGCGTACTGGTGAATGTGAAATTTGGGGTCATAATTTTTTTAATACATTTATGGAGTATAAATGTAATTTTGTTATATGCATAAGATTATGTAATGGTGAAGTCAGGGCTTTTAGGGTACCCATCACCCAAATCACATGCATTGTATTGATTAAGTAATCTCTCATCATCTACCCCTCTCCCACTCCCGCACCCTTCTAAATCTCCTTTGTTTGCCATTCCACACTCTACATCCATGTGTACACATTATTTAGCTCCCACTTATAAAGGAGAATTTGCAGTATTTGTCCTTCTGTTTCTGACTTATTTCACTTAAGATAATGGCCTCCAGTTCCATTCATGTTGCTGCAAAGGACACAATTTCATTCTTTTTATA